ATTTGATGCAACAGTGGTTGATAGAAAGCCCTGGCCAGGTCACCACTGCCCAGCAACAGCTCTACCCTGTGGAAACCAAAGAGTTTCCCTGTGGGGGCGAAGGCTAAGGGATGGCCTGGCTGAGAGGTCTCTGTCATACAGTAAAATTGTTTTATATGTATTCTATTTTAAAAATTTTAACATCCTACTAGAGGCCCAGTGTATGAAATTCATGCACTGGGTGGGTTGTGGGGGCGGCGGGGGGGAAAGTCCCCTTAGCCTGGCCTGTGCCCTCTCACAGTCTGGGACCCCTCGGGGGATGTCTAGGCCTAAGCCAGCAGTCAGACATTCTTAGCGCTGCCAGGGAGGAGGGAGAGGTTTCTGTCACTGCTGCTGTGCTTGCCAGCCATCAGCCTGGCTCAGGGCTTTTGGCTGAGCGGTGCTCCCCCTGTGGGAGTGCACTGATCACCAAGGGGCAGCTCGTGCATTGAGCATCTTCCTCCTGGTGTTTGTGCGCATTATAGCAACCAGTTGTTCCACTGTTCGATAGATTTGCATATTAACCTTTTATTATATAAGATATAATAAAGAGGTAATTATTGTCCATCAATCCAACACACAAAATGACGGCCCCCATGGGGTCAAAGATGGCTGCCACAATGTGGCCAGCAGGAGAGGGCAGTTGTGGGGGGACCAGCCCTGCAAGGGAAGAGTTGGGCGTGATCAGGTTAGCAGGGGAGGGCAGTTGGGAGCTACTAGGCCTGCAGGGGAGGGCAGTTAAGGGTGACCAGGCCCGTAGGGGAAGGCAGGGGCAATCAGGCCTGCAATGGAGCAGTTAGGCATCGATCAGGCTGGCTGCGGAGTGGTTAGGGGGTGATCAGGCTGTCAGGCAGAAGCAGTTAGAGACAATCAGGCAGGCAGGCAAGCTATTGGGAGCCAGTAGTCCTGAATTGTGAGAGAGATGTCCAACTGCCCGTCTAGGGATTGGGGTTAAAAGGGCAGTTGGACATCCCTTGAGGGGTCCCAGATTGGAGAGGGTGCAAACCCTTCCCCCTCCATTCAGGAATATTGTGCACTGGGCCTCTGAGTCAAATTATAAAGAGACAGCTATAAGTAGTTAAGGATTATGTATGTAATGGGACAAGATTTTAGTGAGAGGAATATTTTGAATTTTGTTTCGTGAAAGCACACACCCCCCAAAAAAAAACAAACAAATGCTGCTTGTAGACAATGATTCAAATGATATTCTGAAGACATATTTTTGTTGAGAAGTTCAAGGTTTAGAATAAAGACTCTAAGTAAGATTCATCCAACCCTTCACTATACAATGAGGAAACTGAAGCCCCAGAGAATTAAGGGACAAGCCAAAATGATAATGTTTGACGGTGAAAAATATCTCTTCCTTTACTTTCTTTATGTACCATGAGGGTCGTCATTTGAATTATCAAAAGATAAAGAAACTAGATGCTTGACCGCTTGGATTTCAGGCTTCAGATTTAGAGATGATCACATAAGAGGCCAGAAAAAAAAAAGGAGGGGTAAGTCAGAAAGAAAAAAAAAAAAAGGATTTTTACAAACAGATTCCTACTGGCCCACTCTTCCACTCTGCATTGAGTCAGTCTCAGGACCACAGCATATCTCAATGGTCTGAGGCCACACTGTGGGAAAACATCTTATCCCCAGAGGCCCGAAGCACTGCTCTCTAATAAAATCTGCCTAAATCTTTCTCTGTATCTGTCAAGGTGGCTGGATCTTTATTATCTAATTTGGGAGAATTCTATGAAATTCACCCTAAAAAGTAATTGTTCTTCAACAAAGTCCTTTGACCTCTCAGGCCCCATGTCCTACTTTAATAGCCATTTTCCAAAGGAGGGAGGAAAATATAGGTGATGTAGTAGACTTATACAAGGGATTTTAGTTTGACAATATTTTTATTCCACAAAATTATGTACTGTTGTGAATCTTAAATATTTCATGTAGTTTGACAAAGAAAATTACTTCATATCATTTTATTTCATAATAGATACATATTTTATAAATATATTTTAGATCTTTCTAACCTTTGTGATATGGAGCTTATTATAGCTACTGAGTTAATTGCAGCTGAAGGTGGAGATTAAAAGTTTTAATTTTGGCCCTCGCTTGTTTGGCTCAATTGATAGAGTCTCAGGTTTGATTCTGTACAACCAAGGGCATGTATCTTGGTTTCAGGCTCCATTCCTAGCTCTGGTAGGAACATGTGCAGGAGACAACCAATCAATGTATCTCTCTCACATCAATGTTTCTCTCTCTGTGTCTCTCCCCCTCCCTTCCACTCTCTCTAAAAATCAATGAAAAAATATCCTAGGGTGAGATTTAACAACAACAACAAAAAAAGTTTTAAACTTGGAAATGCTTTGCCCACTATATTTCTAAACAATAAAAGTGGAAATTTTCAGCTTGAAGCCACACAAGAAGGCTACATTCTCTTCCAGGGCATCTTAAACTTTCTCCTTTTTTAAAGCAAGTAACACCTACCAGACATAGAATATAAAATCAGCGAAGAAAAGTAGCAACCAAACTACCCCACAGTACAAAGTTCAGGCTCTATAGGAGGAAACTTGAGGGAGGTAGTCAACAACAGATCATATAGGGGGAAAAAGCAAATACATTAGGAACTCATTATAAAAACATGTACTTAAAGAGAAGCTTGGGCAGTCATTTTACTACATTATCTTAGTTTCTAAAACCCTTCTTATTTCCTCATCCTGTTACATTAGTCATTGCTTTTCACCATTTGAAATTAACCTGTTTTTCTATTTGTTCACTGGTTTACTGTCTTTCTGCACCAGTAAAAAGTCAGCCCCTTGAGGGCAGAGACCACGTCAGTTTTGTTCACTGATTTATCCCTGTGTCTAGAACAGTGCCTGGAACACAGTGGAAGCTCAGTTATAATGTGCGGAAGGAAGGAATGAAGGCCCAGAGCAGACTGACTAGTAACATGTGGAAGAAGGTCATAAGAATGCAGGCAATCCCAAGAACACATTAATCTGGAATAGACCTGAATAAAACTACTATACTCTGAACTGAGCTGAATATTCTCTTCTCCCTGAATGAAGGAAGCTTACTTTTAAACTAGTTCCCTGGTAAGGAACAAATTTATGGCTTATCATTAACATGTAGATTAGCATTTACAGTGTTATACCTAAGCAAGCTCAAGTTGACAGCATAGGAAAATGAACATTGCTTTTAATGTTACGATTTTAAGCAATCACAATTCTAAAATGGTCTTCATAATGTCCTGAATATTGCTCTAGGTTTCGCTGTAGATGAACTCCTAGACTTAGAGGACTAGACAGCACAACCTTTCAGGGCGGGGCCTGTATTACACTGAAGGATTTTAGTAGAAGGAGTTATAATTCAGGGGTTATGGTCACAGGCTTCTAGCTCAGATAGTCTTGGGTTTAAACTTTGAAATATGGTAATGACCACCATGTCTATTTGCTATATTATCTTGACTGATTTATATAATATCTTAGAGTCTCAGTTTCTTCATCAGAAAGATGGGTAATAGTATTTCATCAGATTTTTAGTACAGTTAACATAATGTAAAGTGTTTACTTTAGTGCCTGATATATAATTAGGGCTCAACGATGGGTAGCCATTATCATCAAGATCTCTGCCAAGAATTGCAAAGACAAACAAAAAGGCACTTGACATCATTAACATGGAAATGGAAAAACTGTGAAATATGTTATATCAAGTCATTGGAATGTTGTATTATTTTAGATATTTCTATCTGACAGTTCAAGGTATTCAAAGGAAGGATTCTACATTTCATGTTTATCGATGACAATCTTCATCCTAACACTTACTTAGCTAAGTGTTGTAAAATCTTGGAAGGCCAGCCTCCTGAATCACACTAATTTAACTGCCACTTTCATGTACAGGAAAGCTTTATAAAAGTTCTCACTGTTTCTACTTTCCAGTCATATTTAAAGCATAAATCAGAACAAAAAAAAGCTGACGTGTTTTAGAAGGTATTGAAACAATGCAAATATTAAATGCAACACAGAATAAGATTAGCAAAAACCTCAATCTGCTACCATAGACAGTGGATCTCTGCATCTTAAGTAGCATCTTAGAGAGGTGCACACAACACTCACTCTATCCGAACCTTACTTCCCTATGACCTGGGTAGTGCTGTTTATCATATCTGGGAGTCAACTATCTTTTGGCAATATAGAGACTTTGATATCTACAACAGAAACTTGTTATCTAAAATATCTTAGATAGGATTATTCTACCATATTAATAGTAATACTAGGGACCTGTTGCAGGAATATTCCTGCAAGACTTCCAGCTGGCTTACCTACCGCCACTGCCATCTCTCTAGTCCCCCCACCCCACCTCCTGCCCATATCGCCCACCCCACCATGCCTGCTGCCACCACCGCCACTTTATCCTTGGCACACACACTGAAACCACCGCTGTGCACCTCACCCCGCACACTCAACCAGCCTTGCCTGCGGCCACTGCTGCACACCTCACCCTGCCCCACATGCGCAACCAGTGCTTTCCCTCCAGCAGCCACAGCTGCCTTGCTTTCCACTTTTCCTCCTTCTTCCTTCTATGCAGTTTTCAGTCTTTACTCCTCCCTCTCTCTGCATATGCAAATTAACCACCATCTTTGTTGGGTTAGTTTACATACTCACTCTGATTGGCTGGTGGGTGTGGCTTGTAGGTATAAAGGAGTGAGGGTTAATTTGCATATCACTCTATTATTAGGTAGGATTAAGACAAGTTCTCTGCTTTTGCTTCAAATAGACTACATAAAACATACAAATAGAATAGTAACATTGAATAAATCTTTATTTATTGGTAATTTCATTTATTCATTAATACAGATCTATGTTATTACAGATTATTACAGGCACAGATTAACACAAAAAAATATATGCAGAATATATTTGCAAGATGATGATATTTTGACAATCAATTCTCTTTTCCAGTAATCACCTTAATCTCTCTGTGCATTTCATTCACAGTGAATCTAAATCTCTTCCCTTCACATTTTGAGTGTCAGGATTTGTCACTCGCCCCATAAACAAAAATGAACCTAGGAAAGGAAAAAAAAAAAAAAAACTTTAAAAATTTCTGGAGAAACAAGTGCTGCTAATAATTTTTCTTAACATTTTAACAAATCATTTAGCCTTTGTTCTCTATAAGATAAATAAGCAATGTCTAACAGCAAAGCCCTCTCCTTTGTCTAACACACATAATTATATCATCATTAATTATTTTATGGAAATTTATAAAGTAAATTAACACCCATGACAGCTTGTCATGAAAAATACATGAATCCTGTTTCTCATACAGGAAAGCAAAAATGAAATGACCGAAAGGTGTTCTGAATATAGACAGTCAGGCAAACACAGCATAATAAAATAGTGATGAGCATGGTAGAGTTTTAAATTTGAGGCATTAGCACTTATCTTTTTATGCTTGTAACATAAGCCCTTAGGCTTAAAAGTACAGCTTCTCAGATCTTCAGCTCTGAATCACAGCTCACTGCTATTAAGACAATATTTTCATATCTCTAGTGCTTTCAAAACCTCATAGCAGTGACATAGTATAGAGCATAAATGCAAACACCTATTTCCAGCCATCTTGTGTTTGCAAGTGAAAAAGAACTAAAAACTAGAGGACAAATGATGTGCCAAAATCCATTCACCTTTCTTTTCTACTAACTAGGGTAAGGCAAATTGTTTGCACAGATCCATGTCAATTGTTGCTTTATGATCCTTACAGTCATATGTAATAAAGGATAATTCCAAAAAGTGATAAAATAAGTTTTACATAATTTTAAAGCTGATTGAAAGTACATTTAACTGTCTTGGAAATAATAGTGAGAGAGCCCCTCTTCACTCTTTACGGCTCAGTCCAAAGACTGACACAACCTTAGGAGAACTAAAAACATAGAAATAGACAAAATCTCCAGCAGACATTTTCTTCTTTTAATGAATAATTATAATGCATAACACCTTTAAAAATTATAATCACTACTAATAAAATATCTCAAAATAGTTCTGCAAAAATAAAGAAAACTAATACTTCTATTTTTCAGGTAGATAGGGGTGCATAATTAACTTTTCCCAGGATATTTTTTCACAAAAGAAATCATCAGTGAGTCTTGTATCTTTATGATTCTATAGCATATCCAGATTATTTGTTCAGGAAATTTTTAAAATCACTTTTATAGAAATTCATAACTGAAGACATTGTTTAAAATTTAAAACACTTGGGAGTGTAAGACATTATATAAGAGCTACTTCTCTCGGCCTTTTCAATCTGTTTCTTTGAGCAAGGAGAACCACGTTTGGAATTAAGTCTTCAGACAGTCATCCATCTACTCACTACTAAATCAGAAAGATTAATGGAATCTCCTTTCACATAATAGCCATGGATTTAGAGACAGGATAAAGCAGAAATCATTACTGTTACCATTTTTCTCTTTATGCCCATTCTTAAAGAGGTGTCCCAATTTTTGATTATCATATTCATATAACATCTACATAAGACAGAAATAACTTTTGCCTCCTAATATTAAAATACAATTACATAACCAATTCTAATAACTTAAAAGAAAAGAATTCATAAATACCACGCAGTCTTTTCCTCCCTTCAACTCAAGATCTGAAAGAATTTTAACCAGTGTACTACTGTCAGTTTCAAAATCATAATTCACTACTTTCTCAGAAATGACACATTTCATATAGCATGTTTCATCATTCGGTTCTGAAAGTCTCTAAAACTGTCTTATATTCTCAGCCCCTCAGCCTAAAAGATTAAAAAAAAAAGTATTTATTTCTCAGGGTGTTCAGCTTAATAAGACCTTTGAAAGACTATACTAATATATAAAACTAACCTGATAGAAAGATACAAATAATATGTGGATATTATTTGTATCTTTCTATCAGGTTAGTTTTGCATAAAAGGACTGCTTGACTCAAAACAATGTTTACATTTAAATGAAAATTGGTTGTATTAAGTCTAAAATCACTCATCCTCATACTTCTGAAATTGTTAAATGAATGTATTTTCTATTAGAGCATTGGTAGTCTACTATGTTATGCAAAATCATCATTTTTGTTCATCTAAATAGTTTTTTAGTTCACTTGTGAGAGAAAAATAAATAAATATATGAATGTATATTGTCTCAAAATAACAGCCCATTCTACATTTTACATGGCAATAATTTACAGCATCTAATAAATGAATCACCATTTATTTTAAATAATACTTTAAGGGAGTAACCCCAGTTTAGGAAGTTTCATTACAATTAAGATCATAAAACAGTAGAATTTGTCAAAAGGTCTGATAATGTGAAGCCTTATCACAAATAAATAAATAAGTGCTTTATTTTGGGTTTGGGTTTTGAATGTCGCTGCTGTTTAACTGATGGCTATTTCATGGCCTTAGTCATCAGGTTGGAAAATAGAGGGTGAACATCACTATTCTAAATGCCATTATTTCCTTGTTCATCAATGCTCTATGTAGCTTCATTTCATTCTGTTCTCCATATTCAATAATTACATACTAATTGTAAGAAATTAGAGTTATCCAAGAGGTCAAAGATGTATTGATCAAGTGACATACTCAGAATATCTTTGAACACTGACACATCTAGTACTGGAATTGCAGTTGTGCTCATGCAGTTTCAGCAAATCTAAAACTGTCTCACTGTTCCCAAGGCAAAGCTTTCAGAAGTTTCTGGAGTTTAAAAAGAAGAGACAGGTCCCAGCCGGCATGACTCAATGGTTGAGCATCAACCTATGAACTAGGAGGTCATGGTTTGATTCCTGATCAGGGCACATGCCCAAGTTGGGGGCTCAGTCCCCATAAGGGGTGTGCAGAAGGCAGCCAATCAATGATTCTCTCTCATCATTAATGTTTCTATCTCTCTCTCCCTCTCCTTTCCTCTTTGAAATTAATAAAAATATTTTTTAAAAAGAATAGACTGGCATATTCTTTAGGGAACCAATAACATTAGAATCCCTAACAATTTACTTAATCTAACAGATTTAGGTTCTGAAATTAAATGTCTTCTGTCCATGTAAACCAAACAAGTTTTTTTTTTCATTTTCCTTTATTTATTTATTTGGTCATTCACTCAATTATATTTACTGATTTGTTCATACTTAATACTTACATGCCAGGCACAGTGCCATAGACTTCATATGTCCTCTTATTTAAATTTATGAGATGAGTACTTATATTATGTTTATCTATATATATATATATTCATATATATATATTCATATATATATTCATATATATATATATATATATATATATATATATATATATATATATATATGAGCTAAGCAACCAGAATGACCAGTTGCTATTATGCACACTGCGGTGGCCAACTGGCCTGATGGATGCCCTGATTAGTTCCCCCACAACCTCTCACAGTCCCTGTGCCTGGCTGGCACCATCACAGATAGGCCTTAGCCACCCTATTGTTGGCCTGCCGAATCCCACCTAAGCAGGAATTCATGCACCTGGCCTCTAGTATAGAAGATAAGGACAATAGGACCTAGAAAGTATAAGTGATTGTATTACAACTATTAGTTAACTGAGCTTGGACTTGAGCCCAGGTTTGATACCCAAGTCCATACTCTCAATCTCTAGGGACACTGATATTGTGTGCAGGGCACTCAGCCAAATACTAGGCTAGATACAGAAATTAATAAACAATGATTTCTGCTCTTCTCTGGTTTATAACTTCACATGGACTGAAGTCCTAAATATCAATACATGTAAAGAAAATTCCCTCACTATATCATACTCCTGACCTCTCTTTTTCAAGAGAAAGTACATAAACATCTACCCAGACAAGCTACATGTCACATGTTGACATTGTGTCAAATGCCAATCCAATCCTCTACTATCACCTCTACCTTTTGCACCGAAGTGCATTATCTTTCACCAAAGGACCAAATTAGAGATTTGGAATTATGTTTGGCCCCTCCTACCCATTTAGAACCTATACTTAGTCTCACCTACTTTTTTATAATCTATCTCTGAAACTTCACAACTCTGCAACTCCCAATTTTTACTATAGTAATATCTTAGAGAGTTGATTTCCAAGAAAAAAACAGGTCTTAACCCCTCTCTGCCACTTAGACAAATTACATAACCTCTGTTCAAGCTTCTATATTTTTATTAGTTAAATATATAACCTATTGGAATGATAAGAGCTTTAGAAATAGATATTTTAAATGGTTAGCACATGTAATAGCTATGTTGGCAGTTATTATTACCACTGCCCTATTTTAAGCCCTCGACATCTCATAAAATAAAATGTCTGATATGAAATAGGCACACAACAGATATCCATTAAAACAATAAGTGGTTCAGGTATGTAGATTACAATTGGTATCTAGGAATAAGCATTTAACCTAAGTAGTTCCCCCAGGAAATTCTCAAAAAGTTACCTGTTGGGATATTCTTCATAATAAACAGAAATGGATGATTTGCTATAAATTGGTTTGGAGCCAGGCTCATGATCACAGGGATTTGGACTCCTATAAAACAGAGACAACAGTTATTTGGATGTTCACATTAAAATATTAGCAAAGAAACTTTTAAAAAGCAGTAAAGAAAATATACCCATAATACTATTATATACTAATAGACAGGAAAGGTTATCTTGTTTGAGGAGTTAACATGTGGAAAAATTACCATTTTCTAAATGCAGAGAAGTTTGAAATAAATTTAAAAACCAAAGAGCAGAAGAATAAATATTGGATCATTCAGGGACTAATTCTAACTTCACATTTATGCTCAACGAAGAAGAAAACCACATACTAGATTCAATTTTAGTGAAAGCAGTTGAAATATTTCATCTTTAAATGGTAATTTTCTGCTCAGTTTTTATTTACACTATATGATTTATTCTTACAAGGTTCTAAGTTTAATTCCTGTGCAGATATGTTTGCACTTTATTTCTATTCTTCAGGCTTGTGTAATCACATCTGAGCTTAATTTTTTTAAACTTAACCTTCCCAAAATTATTCTATGAGCTGAAAGCTTTTAGGATTTGTGCTGTCAGTATGTGGGAGTTTTTTATTATGAGATTAGAAGCAGAGACTTGCTGCCTTAACAATTAATAATATTTACTATGATAATTTATACCATGATGTTCTATTATATCATTTGTCAATGTTTATAATGGGTGAATTTGAGTGATTTAATTTCTTTCTTTATAGATTAAATATTTCTACACTCAATTCAGATGTTACCTTTGCCAATAATACAATGACTTTGTATAATTTTTAGTGCCATGAAAATATCATTTTAAAAACATGTACCGTGTCTTTAGAGTTGAAAAACAATTGAATAAAAAAACAAAATGTTCCTCTTTACTCTTTGTTTGGGATGTGCAAATTAAACTGACAAACACAGAGTAACAGAAGACATAGTTTATTTTTTAAATCCACATAGGAATGGAACAGAAAAGAAGTAAATACCCTAATGGCTTGTTATGTAGACTCATTTTACTGCCAACCTCCATTTCCTGTGATAAAGGTACAATTTATGTCCTGCTCTTAGGAAAATTGAAACGTGTAGAGAGTTCTTTTGGTATCTCTTGTTTCTCAATTGCCTTTGGTTCAAAATAGTATTTCTGCTAAAGTGGCATATTTTGGGGTGGCATATCTGATCCCCTTCACAATAAAACACAAACTTAGCAACATGAAATGCAGAGTACTGCCTTATCTGGATGATCAGGGCTCTGTTGCCCAAATTACCAAGGAATACAGGCCCATGTCTGAATTAAAGTGATTATCAGAAAAGCACAGCCAGTATAACTTCCATTCTCATGGGTGAATACTCAAGCTTTTTTGTTCTTCAGCAACCCCTGATCAGATGCCTGGAAGTTAACATACTCCAGCTGATCATTCTGAGGTAAAACACTTTAGGGTTACTGCTGATCCCCAAGTGATTGTGACAGTCTCTTAGAGAACTCTAGACTTAAATTGAGAGCCAGTGGACAATAGCAGAGAGTGTTCTGAGCATGACGTTAGGAAATTGATTCAGTTCAAACTTTGCTGTAAATTGATAGTCTGACCTCAGGCAAGCCACTTCACTTTGCTGGGCCTGTTTTTCACCAATATAATGAAAAGGTTAGATAATGATCTATAATAACTCTTTTGGTTCTATGTAAAAGCAGCTGTAAAATGTGTCTACATGGAGAGTAACTTCATACCAATGCAAACTTTTGATTTTTCCAAGAAGTGAAATATTATATCCCCTCCAGTGTAAGTTCATTGAATACAGTAATATAAAATCTTTCAGGAGATAACAAAGTGAGAGTCCAGTGTGTGATACCAAGATGTCAAAACCTGGTGATACTACATTACAAATTATTTAAGAAATTCATCTATATCTATATCTATTTATCTATCTATATATCTATATTTATGTGGATATATAATATATGTAAATATACATAAATATGCAAGTACATATATATTTACATATATTAGAGGCCTGGTGCACAAATTCGTGCATCATTGGGGTCCCTCGGACTGGCCTGTGGGATTGGGCCAAAACAAGCTCTATGTCATCCCCCAAGGAGTCACAAATTGTGAGAGGGTGCAGCCAGGCCAAGGATCTGGGCCAGGAAGGGATGTGGGAAGTTGGCCAGCTGGGGAAGGACCATTGGAAGGCTCCAGGGCATGTTGCCCCCATCTTGCTCAGTCCCAATTGGCTGGACCCCAGCAGCAAATTAACCTACCAGTTGAAGCATCTGCCCCCTGTGATTAGTGCATGTCATAGCAAGCAGTTGAGTGGCCTTAGCATATCATTAGCATATTACACTTTGATTGGTTGAATGGACAACCCGATGAACAAACACTTAACATATTAGGCTTTTATTATCCTACCAGGAGCCCATTTCAGGAAGATTCCTGCAAGCGGCTGCTGCAGCCACGCACACTGCTACCGCTGCCCACCCTACACACCCTGCCCCGCCCTGCCCGTGCTTTCCCTCTGGCAGCCGCCTTGCTTTCTGCTTTTCCTATCTCTTCTTTCTAAGCTGTCTTCAGTCTTCATTCCTCCCTTCCTCAGCATATGCAAATTAACCACCATCTTTGTTGGTTAAATTGCATACTCACTTTGATTGGTTGTGGGCGTAGCGAAGGTACAGTCAATTAGCTAGTGTAGACTAGAAACCCGATGCATGGAAATTTGTGCAAGAGTAAGCCTTCCTTCCCTCAGTGCCAGCACTGGCTTCCCTCTGGCATTGGGAACCCAGGCTTCCCTCTTCTGGCTGCCCTCAGACACCCGGGACCTGACTGGCTTCCCTCTAGCCCCAGCTTTGTCCAGAATGATGTCCAGAAAACATCCAGTCTAATTAGTATATTATATATAGGCTGAATCTGATGGCCTGTGCACTACCCTTTTATTATTTAGATATAATAAAAGCGTAATATGCATAAGCCAAATGGCAGAATGACTGACCAGTCAGTGAGGGTCGAGGCCAGCGAGCAGGCAGCACCAAGCCAGCCAAGGCCAGCAGGAGGGCAAAGAGAGAGAGAAGAGCAATGGGAGGAGGGGGGCAGCAGAGGAGTAATGGGGATGCTGGCACCATCCCCTGGTTGGCCTGTCGGGTTGCCTCCCACAGAGGGTGGCTGCGCAGCAATGGCAGGGTCATGGGGGCGGTGCCATTCCTTGATCCCCTGTCCTCGCCTCCTGAAGAGGTAAGCTGGGAGGCAGCAGTGGTGGAGTAATGGCGATGGCACTATCCCCTGATCAGCCTGGCAGCAGTAGCATAGCAGCAGGGTGATGGGCGTGTGCCATCCCTTGATCACCTGTCTGGTCACCTCCCACAGAGGTAGGTCAGACTGAGGCTTAGGCCCTCTCTCCACAGAGAACAAGCTTAAGCTGTCAGTAGGACATCACCTAAGGACTCCCAGACTGTGAGAGGGTGCAGGCTGGGCTGAGGGCCCATCTTCCGTTTTCACTCCTCCCTCCCTCAGCATATGCAAATTAGCCACCATCTTTGTTGGTTAATTTGCATGCTCGCTCTGATTGGCTGTGGGTGTAGCAAAGGTAAGGTCAATTAGCATTCCAATGCACGAATTTTCATGCACCTCTAGTATAGGATATATATTAACTTGTAAAAATGTATCAATGTGGCAGTTTAAATAATATATACCGTTTATATATTGGTTAGAACCCAAATAGTCTAAAAAATTAAAATAGACATATGAGGGACTCGTTAAAGTTGCTTTCTAAATTTATAATTGGATTTAAGGTTTTTTCCTTATTATTTTTGAGTATCTCTTATATACTGTATATCATAGTTATTATTCAAACTTTCATTTATTCAAAGAAATATATCATAAAAGAGTGGTTCTTAAACTGTACTGTGCACCCAAATTACCTGGAGACCTTGCATTTTTTTTTTTGTATTGATTTAAGAAAAAAAGGGAGAGAGAAAGAGAGATAGAAAAGTCAATGATGAGAGAGGAGAATCATGCCCCCCACCAGGGATCAAGCTTGGGCTTGTGCCCTGACTGGGAATCAAACTATGATCTCCTGGCTCATAGGTCGATGCTTAACCGCTGAGCCATGCCAACCTGGTGGGTCTGAGGCTCTGCATGTCCAACTAGTTCCTGAGTGATGCTGCTACTGCTGGTCTATGCACTACACTTGCAGTAGCAAATATAGGCTGCCAGCCACTGCAGACACTAGTTCTCAAACCTGGAAGCACATTGGAAACAATCAGGGAAACTTGAGAAAATGCTGGAGCCTGGATCTTATCACCAGACATATAGATTCAATTATTTTGGACTGGGCACAGGATTTTTAAAAGCTTTCCAGGTGATTTTGCTGTGCAGAATCCAAGAACCACTGCTTGGAAATAATGACAAGAATCTGTGACAAAAGACTAACTTGGTGGGATGGAAGAATGAAATTAATACAATTATTTAAGGGTGAGCATTCCTGAACAATAATGATTTTATATCTGAACCTAAAGTTTTCCCTTGCACATCCTATGTGCTAATTGACAGGTAATCCAATTTGCAAATAAGCACATATCAGTGATGGGCCTCAACTCCTAATCAAATCTCTTCCATTTGCATTAAGCTATGGCAGAGATGCATGCACACCTTATACAATCAATTTCTTTTTTGTGTCTTACAGAGTCCTAGAAAGCAGGAGTGAAAAATGAGATCAAAGTACTGCAAAAATTCCAGCCCCTAATGCTCATTGCCCCCCACCACCACCACCACCAATCTTTCCTCCCAGCTTGTTGTGAAGCCCATTGTCCTACCAGTAGATGCGGTGGCTTCACTGCCATCTTCATTTACCTCAAAGAAAACTTGTTGCACGATTTGGGAAACATACAGCTCAGATGAGTCTATTGGGAAATATGAAAGCGTATTTAAGTGTTAAAATTCAGAGCCACTGCTTATTGGGTTCCAGGTTAATTACATTTTCAAGTGAACAAAGAAAAAGGAAATAAGAACACTCTTTCCAAGTTAATTAATTTGCTAGAGAAAAGGGTGGCTTAGGTTTAGCTTCGGCAGAAATGATACAGAGACAGATACAGAGAAACTGAGCATGGCCAGGATATAAAAGGTAAAGACAGAAGGGTGGATTCCTCCAATCAGATACCCCATTAAGTGACATATTGAATGGACAGCAGTTTTGCTCTCTTGAGCCATGGTCTATAGACAAGATGAAAGAAGCTTTACAGATTCGAATTAATTCCACCCTGTGTTTCCAACCTCAAAGTCTTTTAAATTCTGTATCGGTTTTTATCTAAGTTTAAAACAAAATTTACTTTTCTTCTACACTGGGGAGGACTATGAAAGTCTTAAAGCACTTCAGTAAAATCTGTCATAATATCACTTCAGAGTATGCTTCAAAACCTGTCAAATGTTTCAGTGTAAGATGGTGTCACACGACATTTTGTTCTGGTGTGGATACGAACTGGGAGAGAGGCCCCTCTTCTCTCCTCGGTGGAACTGGTATGTGTGTGTGAGTGAAGTGTTCCTGGCATGGTGAGGATGGCCTCCTTGAGAAGGGAGGAGGGAAATCATGAGTTTCAGAAGCCATCGCCATCCTGTTCCCACAACGTTCAGCAGAGAGACAACTGGAACATGGCCCGAACATTCAAGGGTGACAGGAGGAAACGGGCCTGGAAACTTTCAAAGGAAGGAGAAAGGGAGCTTGATGTCCCTGAGAGAGAAAGCTGATGTGAGACAGGTGGCCTCCACCAAAGTCACCAAATATGAAAGCGTTCACGAAGAAATGCCTTAAAGGGAACTAGTACTGCAAGCTTACTGGAAAGCAAACCGCCTCAGGCAAGCTAGAAGTCTTCAAAGGGACATTTACATTTCACTAAAAATAAACTCCAAATCTCTTATGGTGATTGCATCTGAGCCTGATGACTTTTTATCCTCAACTACCCTCCTGTCCTCATGCGGTAGCTTCAGCTATAAAGTGAAGCAGCGAAGTCTTAACCCTAGCTCTTCCTCTGCTAAAAACTACTTCCCAAACCTTTCCCTGTTAGCTCTCAGGTTATTCAGATTTCAGCAAAAATGTCCCTTCCTAATAGCAGTCTTCCCTCACCCTGTCTAAAGATGGAGAAAAGAGGGCATCCACCCCATTGTGTAGATTAACTGAAAAGCAGGAGAATGTGCTTTAAGGTCAGGAGGGAAAAAAAGGCATCATATAAATATAGCCTATATAATATTATAAAAGGCTAACATGCAAATGGGACTGACCACCAGGGGGCAGACCCTCAATGCAGGAGCTGCCCCCTGGTGGTCAGTGTGCTCCCTCAGGGGGTGTGGCGCTCAGCCAGAAGTGGGGCTCACGGCTGGAAAGAGCAGTAGCAGTGGCAGGAACCTTTCCTGCCTCTGTGGCAGCCACTAAGGACCCCTTAAGGGATGTTCACCTGCCAGCTTAGGCCTGCTCATGCAGGCAGACATCCCCCGAGGGGTTCCAGACTGTGAGAGGGCACAGGCCAGACTTAGGGACCCCCTCCCTCTAACTCCCCAATGCACAAATGTTGTGCACTGGGCCTGTAAGATAGATGATAGATAGATATAGATGATGATGATGATGATGATGATGATGATGATGATGATGATGATAGATAGATAGATGATAGATAGATGATAGATAGATAGATAGATAGATAGATAGATAGATAGATAGATGATAGATAGGTTGTTTGTTTGTTTTTTCCAGAGAGGAAGGGAGAGGTATAGAGAGTTAGAAACATCAATGAGAGAGAAACACCAATTAGCTACCTCCTGCACACTCCCTACTGGGGATGTGCCCATAACCAAAGTATGTGACCTTGACCAGAATTGAACCTGGATCCCTTCAGTCCACAGGCCGATAATCTATCCACTGAGCCAAACCAGTCAGGGCAAAAGGCATATTTTTTCTCCATGATTGCCTGGAATATAATAGGATTCATACAAAGAGCACAGAGAAGAAGACCTAGGGGCCCATACCAACAACAAAGCCCAAACTGATGACTAAAAACAGACGCAGAGACAGAGAAGCATTGATCAGACATTCAAACCTAAGAGGGAAGGTAAGGGATGGTGGGGGTAAGGAGGAGAGATCAACCAAAGGACTTATATGCCTGCATATAAGCCTAATCAATGGACAAAGACAACAAGGGGATGAGGGCATGAGGGGGAAGGAGGCATAAGGACATATATGTAATATCTTAATCAATAAAGAAAAATTTTAAAAAATGGGACAACAACAAAAAAAAATAAAGTAAGTGGGGAAGGAGTAGAGAATTTCATCTGTTTTCACAATGTCACAAGACCACTGACTCTCTGCCTCTTGGACTAAGCAGCTTGGTTTTGTGTCTTATGTCTTACCACAGAGAAGTCCTAGTCTTGGGAAAAGAACAGGACCTGAGAGGTAAAAGGTCAGAGCAAAAATTCTGGGTTCCATAAACTCAGTGTTTTCTACATCTTTGTAATAATGCTATCCCTTAATTTTCTATAAAAATTCCAAATGACTGTATCAAATTAAAAAAAATAAAAGCCTTCTTTGCTAGAAATGTGCAAATAAATATTACTGTGCCATTATCCCACTTATACTTTTTATTTAGCATTTATGGAGTAACTTTTATGTTCCTAAATATGACAAAAAAGGAATAACAGCTAGAAGTCAAATTGTCACCTCAAAATTTCCAAAGTAACTCTAAAAACATTTCATGTAAGATTTGTGACCTCCATGAGTATAGGGCAGTGCCTCTTTTGTGTAAATATCTCATAGCACTGGTTGCTGGGCCAGTTCTCAGTGGCCTTTAGTGATTGCTTATTGCACAAATAAAAGGTAGGGATGGCATGGAAATCACTCTTTTCCTAATGACCAGGAATAGTGCCATCCTTGGCTCTTCTTGGTCTATTTCAGGCAATAAGACAGAACCAATGTAGTTAAAACAAATCAAATAGGTAACTCAGGAGAGAAAGAGCTGAAAATGTTGGACATTTATTCTCTGCTTGAGGAGTTCTCTTGCATAAATTCTTTTATGAAACATTTTAAAGGTATTTTCTTGACAAATCTGCCAGTTATAAAGAGATTTTATTGAACTCACAAATTGCTGGGAATTTGCAGAGTGAGTAGCTGTTTGAAATGTCTGGGGTAGAGCAAGTAAGCTTCCGAAAGCGAGAAAAAAGTTTAAGATGAAGAGGTGCTGGGGAAATGGCTTCTTTTATTTCAGGCTGATGAGTGGCTATGTTCCAAGGCACACTCAGATAGCATCCTGCTGCAGTATTTAATGTTGACTGTCTCATTTCTGATGCTGATAAGATTGTCAAAGAAGTTAGATCTTTGTGTCACTGTGAGAACAAGTAGCTAAATCATGTGTTAAGGTGACAGTGAACTTCTATGTTGCCTGTGTACCCCTCTCAACCCCTGCATCAGGAAAGCTCATTCTGTTTATTTACCCATGTAATTAATGAGTACTTCTTCAAAGTTCATAAATTTATATAGGAACTATAGGCACAGTGCATGAAATTTGGGCACAGGTAAAGTCCTAAGCCTGGCTGGCAATTAGGGCCGATCTGTGGGGCGACGGGGTGATTGGGAGGCCCCACTGGCACCTGCCTTGGCTGCCCTGGGGCCTATGGGCTGGGAGCAGCTCCTGTGTTGAGTATCTGCTGGTCAGTGCATATCATAGTGACCAGTCATTCCACCAGCCATTCCTCCATTTTGTCAATTTGCATATTAGGTTTTTATTATATAGGATATACAAAATTTCTATGCCATGATACAAAAGCCCATCAGATAGACAGGCCTATATTATCAGGACTCTTTTTATAAAATAGAAGACTGAATTTAAAAGGGGGTAAGTAACTTGGGACTAATTGGTCCTCCTCATCCTTTGTGTGTGTGTGAGTGTGTGTGTGTGTGTGTGTGTGTGTGTGTGTGTGGTGTGTTTGAACTAATGGGTATTGTTAGGATGAAAAAAATTAAAAGACTGTCTTGAGTTTGTTGTTTAATTGAACATCTTAACCCTGCACAATTTCCCAGATGCAAGTTAGCATAAGGATTCCATCTCCCTAGTTTTGTTTGTCAGTCCCAAGCTAAATGCAAGCTGCAGCATTATAATTTCTTGATTATGTTCGTCATCCAGCATGTTGTGAATGCCTGTTTCATGGGCTCTGATATTACTGAATTAACATTTGCAAATTGGTTTATAAGAGTTTTATTAGCTCTGCTCAGATGAGAGACTCAAAGTTGTAATTCCCATTGTTCAAATAAAAAAATCCAAATAGGGCCGAAATAAAAGCCTGTATAATACTTTACCTACGTAGTTCATTACAAGCATGGTTGGAAGGCTTATCTAACATTTGAAAATGCTTTCTGGCTTTCATTAAGGAAAAGTACTTAAATGCAAAATAGAGTGTTTACAGACAACTCAGTGCAATGATATTTATTTATTGTGATGTCTTTATTTCCTGGGACCCAGCACTCTTTTTGTATTAAAATCAGTCAGTTAGCATCGTTACTAAGAAAACATATTAACATACTGTCAAATTATTTATCATATTACCTGTTATTCCAGAAAGGTCACAGCCACCACTAAATATTTCTGTTATGTTCAAAGAATACAAAGTCTCTTTGAAGTCCAATTTTTGTTCCACTTTAAATCTGTTAAAAACAAACAAAACACTGTCAGCATTTGCTACTCCCATTGTTTTTTTAATCTATAAAGTGGACGACTTGGAAGAAATCATATTGTGAAATCTTGTCTTTTATTTTCATTATCCCAGTTACATTTTCTTACATTTACAAACACACCATATTTCCCCCGCTCCACTTAGCCATTCTGGGTTACTAATAACTTGTTTTCTATATAAATGGTTGGTGGGAAGGGAAGAGAACACTCTAGTTTTTGAGTAACAATTACCCAACTAAACAGGGTGAGCATTTTAAGTTTCCAATTGCTTGGCTCCTTCCCTAGATGTTTAAAGGTTCCCCTAAAGCAACCATTTACACTCAGGTGTTTTTCACACCATCCAAGACTCTTCCTGGCAGATGTCCAGGATGTGATGAGGGGAGGACAGGAGCCAACAATCCTTGGAGGAAACTGTGGGCTACTGAGGTGCAGAGAGGCTTTAATCACCTATTATCCTCCTCCCCATCCATTGTCATAATTGAGGCGACTTCCTCCCGTTGTAAACTCACCTAATATATTTTCAAACAAGCCCAGTATGTGGTGTAAAACATTGAAAGGGAACAAAATATCTCTCAAATGAAATAAAAGATAAACGTTATAGGAGAAAAGCAAAAATATCCACTACTTCTGATTCCTGGCGGTACCCTGAGAGGCCTCAACCCATTCATGTTCTTATCAGGGAATGAGAAGGAATTGACCAGCATGACAGAAAGAGTCAGCAAAGCACAGGAAGTTTATTAAAGCTGCAGGTCACACTTGAGAAGTGAAAGTGGGCAACCTGGGAGAATGAAGGGAGCCAGTGAGTTTGGATGGAAGGTCCTTATTAAACGTGGGCAAGGGTGGTCCTCTGCTTCTGCAGCTAGTTGCCAGTGGGAATCATACTTGTCTCTCCTCTCCAGCAATTTCTTTTTGGTCCTCCCACTTATAGGAAATTGGGGAGAAGGAAGCAGGGAAACAGGTGAAGGTTCTGTCTGTGATGTTCCAGATAAGATGAAGCTTAAGACTTTTGTTCCCTGTTCTAACTTTCCTGCCTCACTTCCAAAGCAAGGCCATAAGATAGGACTCCAGATTCAGCCCTCTTCTCCCAGCTGATGTGAAGAAGGACCTGACACAGAGAATCTCAAAGACTTTCTTAAGCACAGAGCCATGATTCCAAGCCAATAGCAATCATTGAGCATCATGTTGGCATTTAATAATAATAATCTTATATAATAAAAGCCTAATATGCAAATTGTCCTCTTGACTGGGAATTTGACCAGGAGTTTGCCTGCTCGCTATGATGTGTGCTGACCACCAGGGAGTGGCACAGAACATGACAGGCATTGGCAATGTTGTGCTGGCAGTGGACAGCAGTGAAGGCACTCAATAGGCCTCAAGGACAGTGGAATGGCAGGTGGGGACCAGATCACTCTACAGAGGGCAACCAAGCACTGAGGGAGAAAGGGCAAATAGGAATATTAAAATATTTCTTCCAATTATTTTCCTTTCAATGTGCCCAATCTGTGCACTGGGCCACTAGTAATAATAATAATAATAACAACAACAACAACAACTAATACTCACTGACATTATAGATGCTCAAAGCATCAATTTGCATTTGAAAACCAGGTTGGAAAATTTGTTTATGAAATAAAAGAGTGTGAAGTCCTCATACAGGGAGCTATGTATATCCCTACATCAACCAAATTCCCAGACAACTCCTTCCATGTTGCTCTGTCTGTGCCCTGATGAGCATTTGCCCATGTTCTCAGATTTGGATACAGACACAACTGCTCAAGCACAGGATTCTTGCTTACTTAACAAGGTGGCCCACATCTGGGGCTAGACATTAACTTGGGCAATCAGCTAACTAGATCATTGTTTTAATTGCCAAATACTGAACAAGCAAACTTCCTAATTATAAAATTTCAAAACAATGAATATGCTGTGGCAAAAATGTACTGGCCCTAAATTGATTTTGGTAAATATTGTGCACTTTTGGAAGATATTAACTTATACAAAACCCTAGCTAACTGTCAATGGGCACAACAGGCATTCAAATCTACTGATAATGAAAATAGCTTCTTTTATACCAACTGCTTTCAACTTCTTTCTCTGAACTTCCTACTAAGAAAGATAATATGCAGGATAATGGTTTTGAGGGTTTGTTTGTTTTGTTTTGCTTCATTATCACACTCTATTTTTAAACTGAATGGAGTATGAGCTTTTAAAAGGCAGAGAATGAATGTTCTACCTATAAATTGACTGTGGGGTGTTTTTTTTTGGATAATAACACGGGTTTTTTTTTTTTTTATAATAACACGAGTACTGCAAGACATAAGTTCCAATAATGTCTAATTATCACCAGAGTCATTTAAGTAACAGTCCTGCTCATAATGTAGTCCAATGAAACCTACAGCAATAGAAATCCACTTAACTATTTTAATCTACAACCAATTTCTAATTTCCATAATTATGAGAGCCATGAATAGCCATATGTAAAGTAGCACTTCTATTAATATAGTTTATAGTTTTTAATCTTCACATAAACCCCAGGAAGTTAGCATTATTATTCCCATTATTATTCCTATTAACATACAGCCACATTTTCCCTGAGTTCACTTTCACCCACACACAATTCACATTCACCATCTTATAGATCCACAGCTGGCCACTCCTGGGACTGATTTATAGCTCAGCAAGAATATGATACTCCATGTCCTATGGTAAGAATTCTCTCTTTTCAAAAGTCTCCCTGCACTGCTGCTCCACATCTTTTATCTTGTTGCTCATTCTACCAGTGATCATCTGCTCTGTTCTATGATCCCTCATTGTTGCCTTGCATCAAACTTGTGTTCTGACTCTTGCAATTTTGGCTCTGCTATTTGTTAGCTATGTATCCTCAGGCAAGGGGTGTACCTTATCTATAACCTGAATATCAAAATAGATCTCTATCCAATTTATTGTGGGGAATGAATGAGATATGGTAAAAGGAGAAGCATTTTGAACAATGCTGACACTGCAATAGATGCTCTATAAATATTAAAAATCGAGTGAGAATAACAATAAAAACAATACGAGTTAATAATGAGTTCTAACATTTTGTACACACTATCTTATACTAGAGGCCCAATGCACAAAATTAATGCAAGGGGGTTGGCCCTCACAGCCCCGGCTTCATCCAGAAGGATGTCCAGAAGGTCGTTTGGCTGTCCGATTGATCTAATTAGCATATTATGTTTTTATTATTATAGATACTACTAACATCAATCTTAAAAAGAGCATATTATCATTATCTCTTTTAATAATAAAAAAGATTGGGTAAGGTAATCAAATTTATAGTTAGAAAGTTTTAAAACTCGGTCTTCAATATTATGCTCTAATTACCTTGAACTGGTTTCAACAGTTGAGAAAAGATACTGTGAGATGCCACATCAGTAAATGTTTTTTTAAAATACCTCTCAGAAATAGTATTACTGTTGTTTAGTTGTTACTATACTTTTGAAAGAACTATATATGGTATTTAACAAATTTAAATACCTGGACTATCAAAAATTCAATAACAACTATGAAGCTTACACCAAGAAAATATATATATGACTATATATGCATATACTTGCTAATAATTTCAAGGTCTTTAAGGACTCTCTAAAGTCCACTCCAGAGCTCTCCAGAAGTCCATGATACTAATTAAATACTGTTACAAAAGAATAAGAAGTCAGTCCTCTCATTTTCCCAGTAAGTCAAGCTTGAAAACTCAACACATTCTTACCCATATCTACTTAGTCACACACTCCAGTGTCTTTCCTCACCACTAGTTCCTTACTATTCCCAGTGAAGCTTCTCCCTTTAAACATTCATTACTCAGTTCTAAAATCATTGCAGTAGGTTTTTTACTGATTTTTTGGGTTTACCATATCCTGAACATAACTACTATTCAGATTAAAGCAACATGCGTTCATTGAACAGCTACTATTTTTCAAATGTGTGCTCTGTGCTGGGGTCACAGAAAGAAAATATTCATAGTTCTTGACATCAAAAAGTTCACAGTCCAGTGAGAAAGACAAACAAATAGTTTTTAATATAACTGCTATGCAGAAATAAATACAAGCAACAGGGAGACTTTTCTCAGCAGGGAGAAAGGAAGATGCTGTGGGTTCTTGCATGAAGAGACCAAAAAAGCTTTCAAAAACTCAAACTTTGTTTTAAAGACACATAGTAGTGATCCAGAGAATGGAGGTATGGGGGATAGAGAGTTGGGAAATAATTCAGGCAAGCTATTCAGCATGAACAAGGATTATTCCTCTAAAACACTGCTTCCTACTCCATTATCCTACTTGGAAATTTTCAGTAATACCCCATTACATATAGGACTTATCCATCTTGATTCCTCTAAAGCCCAGCTCAAGTTCTTCCTCTTTCATGAAGCTTTTGTTTACAATTCCAGTTTCTAGTGCTTCTTCTCCCCTCTTCTCTCTCCTTTTTAATAAACCTCCTAGTGCTTATTGATTATATCATTTCTTTTAGAGTTTACTGTGCATTGTTGCATATTGTTTGTAAATTTCTTATGCAAATCCTTCACGACTCCATCCATCATCTTATTGATAGACAACATGTCTATCACTTTGCATCTGTCCTACTTCCTTGTCTAGAGTGCTGTCCCAATTAATCTGTGCTTCTGGATAGGATATAAAGTTTCTAACAAGTAGAAGAATAATAAGACTGAAAGGCTATAAGCCAGCAAGCATGGGAACTTTTCTCATCTCCTAACACTTAGTCAAATGTCAATCAATTAATTTTTTTGAATGACTAAGTTTCCTTATCTCGGAAATACAAGATATAACCAAGTCAGACTGATTATAAAACCATAGCATTAAGTATCCTATATAATAAAAGTCTAATATGCAAAGAGACCTTACAGCAGAACAACCAAACAACTGGTTGTTATGACATACGCTGACTTCCTGGGGGCACTCACGGAACATGGCAGGCATTGACGGTGGTGGGATGATGGAACAAGTGAGTGGCGGTGCCAAACTAAGGCAGGGCACCGGTCACTGTCATCTGGGTGAGTTTCTGGTGATTACTGACAATTCTTTGCTTCCACATGCCGCCCGGTACTGGCACCTGATGCTGGCCCCTGGCACTGATCCACATTGCTTGGCACCATCAATGTGTGTGAGTGGTGGCTGCCGGCCCCAATTGCCCTTGAAGGCTTCTTCACCTCCCCCTGCTCCGGAGGGGCAATTAGGCCCAGCAGCTACTGCTTGCACTGGCTGATGGCACCAGTCCCAATCACTCCATACCATCAGCGGGTGTGAACAGGACCAGAGCTGTCAGTGCATGGGAGTGGAGGCGGTGGTGGGAGCAGGGCTGCCAACAGACAGGGGACCAGGAGCCGTTGCAAGACAGGCTGGGTGGTGGGAGGGAAGGATGGGCCCATTGCAGCCTCAAGGCCTACAGTTCCTTTCAAGGTGCACGAATTCATGCACTGGGCCCCTAATTAAAATATAAATGCCAAATGTTTTACAAATTTAAACTGATATATAGATAAAAATTACTTGTTTATTTACCTTACTTACATGTATTAAATGATTGTTTTTGCCTATATACATAATCATAAAAACACATACAGAGAAGAATCCGACATAACTCAAATGTATGTTAGACTCTTCAACCTGAGGAAATTTGACTATTAATATTTATAGGATCCCATATTACATTTAGACAAAGAAAGATGATTATTTTAGTTGCTATCCAATTGCAGAATAATGTCCAAAATTAGATATCTGGTATGTTATTCATAATAAACACCAGAAAATACCCTAGTATTTTTTTTTAGATTATGCTCTATCTTGTTGCTCTTGATTCTTAACTAGTATACATCAAAAAGTGAAAGAAGTATTTCTTAAACAGTAGTCACTCACATGTTCTTTCCTACTATTGTTTATATATAAGTATTATAGATTAACTTTTCTCTCTTTAGCATTTACTAAATTTTGTTTCCAAATAGGCTTTATTTTGACTTAGAATAACAGGATTTATTATACTAGTAATTGATGTTATGGGTGGAACTGTGTCCCCTCTTTACATGTTGAATCTCTAATCCCCAGCACCTTATAATGTGACCTCATTTGGAAACAGGGCCATTGCAGATGCAATTAGTAGGTTGATATCAGACTGGAATAGAGCAGGCCCTTAGTCTATTATGACTGGAGTCTTTATAAGAAAGGATAAATCCACAGGAAGAGAGATGACCATGTAATGATAGGCATCTGTAAGCAGAAAAACAGCAAAGATAATGGATCATCACCAGAAGCTGAGAAGCAAGGAAGGATTGTACAGAGTTTCAGAGAGAGCATGGCCCTTGATGTTGGCTCTCTTATCTCCAGAACTGAGAGAATAAGTTTCTGTTGTTTTAAGCCATCTGGCTAGTGGTATTGTGTTACAAGAGCTCAAACAAATGTACCTGATTGAATTGTTTCAGTTTTACTTAAATCTTCATTAGTTTGAAACCATAATGCATCCGTTCAGATATAAAAGAACCACAGCACTGAGTAATAACATATAAAATTGTCAGTCTACTCAAAAGTATTTACTGAGCCGGTAGAAGGAATTGGAAGGGAGGATGGAGACATGATAATAAAGGACAAATAAAAAAGGGAGTGAGAAGAAAAAAACATTAAAAGTAAAACTCAGATAAACATTATTTGAGAGCAGAAAGAACAAGTGGTAAGTTAGGGAGCAGCAAAATTTTACAGACAAATAAATAGAATAGTGCCACAGGGGTTTAAAAAAAAGACTTTCAAGAAACACAGAACAGTTAATAATATTTGGAACAAGAGCCCACAGTTAGGATGAGAAAATAGGTTATGTCTTTCTCCAGGACATTATAAAAGATAAAAGAAGAGATGATTAGCAAAGACAAACACATTTTGAGGTAAAGGGTAGAGAAATGAGTTTGTATGATGGTCTGTTTTCTTTAAAAAATAGGAAACTGGAACATATGTTGCTTGACAGAGAAGTCACATAAAGTAGTGCATGGAGAATAGTGGTAAAATTTTGTTGTGGTGTGGGTGTTAGAAAAGAAAAGACTTGTAAATGTGGAGTCCCAAGTTCCAGCTTTGGTGAGGCCAGAAGTGATTGCTTTCTGGGTTTTGCTAAACAAAATCAGTAGCTGAGCAGCAGGAGTAGTTTTTTAGTGGATTCAGAATTGAGAGTGGTTGGAGATAGAATTAGAGAGCAACAAAGACCTAAGAACAAAAACACTAAAAATGGTTGGTGAGAGAATGGTTGAAATAACTGGGTGGCTCTTGATTATGTGGAAAGGAAGAGAAGAGCCATGAGGTTTAAGAAGCCAAGGCCAGGAAGAAAGGCACACAGACCATGCAAGCCTTATTGAGTTTGAAGGGGGGAAAAAATTCTATATATATAAAACCCTAATATGCAAATAGGCCAAACGGCAGGACAATAAAACAACTGAATAACTGAACAACTGGTCACTATGAAGTTCACTGACCACCAGAGGGTACATCCAGCAGATGGTGGGATGGTGGGCATTGGCTTCAGGCAGTAGAGTGCAGAACATAGTAAGCATCGGTCACAATGGGATGGTGGAGCAGGTGAGCAGGGGTGCCAGACCAAGGCAAGGGTGCTGGTCTCTGTCATTGGGGCAAGCCTCCAGTGCTTACTGAAAATTCTTTGCTCTGGCACACCACTATTCCACCTGAGGCTCACACTCGCTGCCAGTGCTGGAGCTGCCACTTGCACCCACTGCTGGCACCCAGCACTGGCCCCGAATGCTTATCAGTGTCAGCAGGAGCAAGCAGCAGATGCTGGCCCTGATCACCCCTGAGGTCTTTTTCACCTGCTCCTGAGGGACGATCAGAGCTGGCAGCAGCCTTTTGCACCCACTGCCAGTGCCAGAACAGCCGCTGCTAGTGGCTGGCTCTGACCCCAATCACTCAGCCCCATCAGTGGGTGGAAGCAACAGCTGCTAGCCCTGACCACCCCTGAGGGGTTCTCAACCTCCCCCTGCTCCTGTAGGGTATTTGGGACAGCAGCCACTGCTCACACCCGCTGATGGTCCAGCCCCAATTGCTTCGTGCCACCAACAGGGGGACCTGGGGCCTCAGTGAGAGGGGCCGAGTTGGAGTGGAAGGGATGAGCAGAGACCTGCCCCTGTGCCCACCGCAGCCTTGTGGCCCACAGTTCCTTCCACAGTGCATGAATTTGTGCACTGGGCCCCTAGTTAGAAATAAAATGATAGGATATAATCTATTAGATACCTGTTTCTTTAAAAATTCAGATAGAAATAGACTGTCAAATTACAGCTGGAAGGCTGGGGAGTGTTGGGGAGGGAGGGAAATAGATCAACCAAAGGACTTGTATGCATGCATATAAGCACACCAGTGGACACAAGACACGGGGGGGGCGGGTTCAGTGGGATGAGGGTATGTGACAGGGGGTAGGGGAGGCTGGGGGAAGGTCAATGGGAAAAAAAGATACATGTACTAATATATGTAATACTTTAAACAATAAAAAGTATATATATATATATATATATATATATATATATAAAGTAATTAAAAATTCAGATAGAGTATAAATTAATTTATTTGGACATATCTTCTCTCTGAAATCTCTCCTATCTCCTAGAAGTATATTAAGTCACTAGAGGACCAGTGCATAAAATTCATGCACTGTAGGGTCCCTAGCAACTGCTAGCTGCCAGCCGGGTATTCCCTCCCTTTCCCTGGCCACCTACCATTACCAGGGCCCTCCTCCCTTCACCCAGCTGGCCCTTCTCCCTGGTTGAACTCCCAGATGAACTCCTGGTTGAGGGGACAATTTGTATACTATGCTTTTATTATATAGAATTATAGCTTACTGAGCATGCCTTTGCAATTTCTATTTTATATTGACTACCTAAACTGACCTAGGAGTCTATGTATAACTCAGTGACCATTAGAGCATTACCTGTCAAAGGTGATTTAGCATATCTTTTAATTATATAGTATGCTAAGCATTTAGGAGTTTTTGTTTTTCTTAAACATAATAGAAGATAAAAATTTTAAATTCTAATCATGAAAAAAAATTAGAAAAATAACTTTGTATAATAAAAGAATCAGAATTTCTTTTAATCCTGGCATTCTAGTTTGAAGAGTTATATTTCTTTATCCCTTTGAGAGAATATTGGGGCACTTAAACACCATCCTGCACATGGCAACACAATACAGGCAAAGTGCAGACCTACTTTTGTATCCATAACATGGAGTAAGACTTTCACTTGCATCTTCCTTTTCACTTCTGTCTACAGTCTTTCCAAGCATTCATTATCGCTGAGCCAACCGACTGAATTCAAATTCCTCCATAAGTGAAAATATAACAACCAGAATAATAAAATATTACCAACCTAGGGAGGCTTATTTCCACTTCCTCTTCTTGCATCTCAGAGAACCATTTTAAGATTAGATCGGCAGTAATTTGTTTTTCCATGTCTTCTATATTCACCTCTTCTGCAGGAAGTATAATAATTAAACTGAACTCATCATCTTTATAAGGTAATTCCAAAACCTGGTACTCCACGGAGGATTCCGAAAAATAACCTGCAATAGAGAAAATAAAATATGAAATATACTTGGCAATTCCCAAAGTCATGCTTTAGAGTGTGATTCCCCATCTATACTAATAACAGAGGAATATGCAAATTATCCTAGATGCTGTCACATAACGACCAATCAGGATGGGGGCAGGGCCATGGTAGTGCACTGGGGGTCTCAGCATGTCTGTGTGCAGATAGAAAGAGAGAACAGATAGGCAGTTAGGGCGATCAGGCCAGGATGGGAGGGCAGTTAGGGACATCAGGCAGGCAGGCAGGTGAGCAGTTAGGAGCCAGTAAGTCCGGATTGTGAGAAGAATTGTTGATTGGAGATGGTGCAGGCCAGGCTGAGGGATCTCCACCCTCCTCCCCACAACATGCATGGTTTTCGGGCACCAAGCCTCCAGTATTACCATATTTTGTTCTCAAAAGAGCCTTCATCATTGGAATTTTGACTGTTGCACCATCTTTCTTAGTGAAATTCATCAGCTCTGTGCCTTCTTTTCTGAATTTTTGTTTCCAATCCCCCTTGAAATAAATAGCATTCACCAGGATAAGCCGAGTCAGAGGACCAAATTCTTCCCCTGAAAACATGCCTTTAATTTTTCCTGTAAAGAAGGTGGAAGAGGAGGCAGGGAGAAATATGCAACAGCTTAGTAGAAATGCTTTAATCAAACTAAAACAAATATTTATTTCGCAGACCACTTGTGAACAGGATGCTTCTTACCTAAACACAGCAATTTTGAAGGTAAAGAGGAGCACTATTAAATAATTTTACTTAGAAATTGGTACAAATGGGCAGAAACCAGTTTGGCTCAGTGGTGGAGCGTCTGTGTGCGGACTGAAAGGTCCCAGATTCGATTCTGGTCAGGGGCATGTACGTTGGTTGCAGGCATATCCCCGGTTGGGGGTGTGCAAGAGGCAGCTGGTTGATGACTCTCTCTCATCGATGTTTCTAACTCTCTATCTTTCTCCCTTCTTCTTTGTAAAAAAAAAATCAATAAAATATATTTTTTTTAAAAAAAGAAGAAGAAAAAAGAAATGGGTACAAACAGGATTCCATGGGAAACAGGAGATACAGATTATCTTAGGCAAATTTGAACTGACCTAGTAATGAACTCTCTTTAGCAAGATTATTTCTGTAAATGGCTTTGCAGACAAAAAGAACAAAAACTCAGTATCCTTTCTTGCATAGCTACTGGTATTTTCAAAGTTTATTTCAAGGTCTTCCAGTAAGTCAATCAGAATTACTAAATTAATGGTACACTCAAGCCTTCTACTTTTGCAGCTACAGTCACTGACCATTGGAAGAGACACGTATGGAGCTGCCAGAATGATTTTTATCTAAAAAAAACAGAAATGAATATCTTAAAGTTATGAGACAAATGCATGATTGGGTGCCATGGAGCTGCCGAGGAATGTGGACACAGCTCACCATACCCCACCTCATGTTTTCAACTTATGGTTCCCATCTCACACTATCACAATTTTTTATAGCAGAATAAATAAGCAAAGAAACAGACTATTGTAAACTGAGGACCAGATGCATGCTTGTCACTACACATAAAATAATCCTGAAATTTTAAATAACATCCTCATTTTAAATGAGACATAGCTTAGAACCTGTTAAAACTTTAACTCATATGTAGAACTTTAAACTTATGTTCTTTCTACTGTTCCATGTTATAGGCCCTTTGGAATTTTTGCTGGCTTGTATTTAATTTAAAGTTAAGATTGTCATGTTTATAATAGGACTACCAACATTTATTATTAAACATTAACACATCCAATGCAGATGTATTAGTTATTTATATTATATGGGTGGAGGGGAGCATTTAGGATTGACAAATCTAATATCTTGCCAAAGATATTATTTCTGTTGTCATACTTTAAAAATCTATACTTTAACAAAAATTATGATTAAAATCATTCCTTTAAGAATTCCACAAATAGGTGTCTTTAAAAAAAACATATTTGTGTACTTTTCAAAGCAGCTCACAATTATCTCTCGGTTTTAGAATTGAGTATTAATTTAAATAGCAGGGAAGAGAAATAGAAGATTTCCAGTTTAGTAGGAAAATATTCAACCTTTGTTTACTTTAAGATATTAAAACCCATGAATACAATCTCAAATAATGATTTTACGAAAATGGGAAACTTTACCATCTGTTTTGCTTTCTACCCAGGCACTTATTGTCTCTGCACAAGCCTTCACATTCTGAAAGTTCACCAGTTTTATGGCACTCTGAAAAAATTTCTCGTTGCCATGGAGATACTGTTCCTTCACAGTGAATCCTTCTTGAAGGTAGAGGGCATTGGCAAGATTAAATGTAAATTCTTGTTTTTTCTTTGAGATGGCAGAGAAAAATGACTTCAGTGCAGAAAATTCTTCTCCTGAAAAATAATTACAATGTATACTGACATATTGGAAACATAAAAACAACAGCTTTCAGCTTTGTTTCTAAGCAATCTGATTCATAGAACTACTTTTTGCACCCTTTCTAATAATCCTTTCTAATTTAGTATAACTAATAATACTTTCTAATTTAGTCTAAGTATTTTAAGCATTTAGCTCCAAGAATATGCCTTTCCTAGAGAAATCAGCTCTTAATAGTAAAAAACAGAAGGTCTGTGTAAATTTAAAATTTGTGTAAAACAAGAATACACATTTAATAGTCTGAAGGGAATTATTTATAGTCAAATATAGCTTATTTTTAGTTGATCAAAACATTTTTAGAATCTCATTTTTTTTGCATAACATGCTGTATTTATGAAAGGGGGATGCTAATGGATGCTGATGAGGGGGTATGACAGTGATTAGAATTCTCTTCAATATTATTTTAACTTCAGCTTAAGAATTACTTCCTTATGAACAACGGTACCTGTCCAAGATTTGAAATTTACTAGGCAACCCACATAATCATCTCTAGGGTTGCATAATAATCAGAATTGCCTATTTCTTCAAGTTCATGAACCTGTATACTTTGGTTTTCTACATAGACAATAAAAACTTTTAACCATCCCAACTATAACAACTAGCCAAATGAGCCCATCAGAATTAGCTAAGACTCAGCACTGGCCTATTAATTATTTATCATTGGGTCATCCTGACAGCAGTGTTGTCAGGAAAGTGCATGCGCCCATAAGAGTATTCTGTGATTTTTTTTTTATCAGTGGCTTCCTATTCATCACCAAAGGGTCCCAATATTTTTATGTCCTTCCACCTTAACCCTGAAACTCAATCATGTAGTCTGGGAACTGTATTTCAAATCAAAGGCCCTTATTCAGGGCCTTTGTTATATTTTCAGTTAAATACTGAAAATACCACTTTTATAACGTTAAAGTTGGATATATATAATTAGTTTCTATTGAAGAAACATAGATAGTTTATCATTGTAAGAATGCCCATTGAATAAACAGATTTTAAAATTATTACTGAGAGAAACTTCTCAGTGTCAGGCGTGTGTGTGTGGTGTGTGTGTGTGTGTGTGTATGTGTGTGTGTGTGTGTGTGTGTAAACAAGTTATCAGTCCATAGGGCATTTTTGTGTAAATATGAACAGATGTTTTTCCTGGGGGGCTATAACTCCATGGCCTCTTATCTTGTCTAGCCGAGTAGGGGCTGCATTTCAGTCCCTACTCACCTCTTTTTCCTGCTCTCTTGTGTAGATATAGCTTATGCAACACACAGGGGGCTCTGGAAAGTATAGTAAATTATATTTCAAACAATAATTCCCCATTCATGGACACAGACACACATAAAATATTTTAGATATGAAAACTTCATCTAAAGAATTTGGGTAATTCTTTACAACCCTGGAATTCCTTACATAAAGAAGGGAAGAAAGTTCATCTATTGTCCTTGTTGATGCAGTGATTTCAAATGCACTCATTTCTTGTTATCTGAAGCTAAGAAAAATGTCTCAATAGCCCAGAGGCTACAAAAAAAGACTTCCTGAGGGAAGGCATGAGAGCTTCTCTAAAAGAATTAAATAGGGTTAGAAATAATGTGGCAAAATTTGAAGACAGTCTTCAGGAACTTGTTCTTCATCTTTAAAGGAATAGGGGCAGATGGGAAAAGGAGAAGGGAAGAAAAAAATACTTCCAGATCATTTGTCAGAGCAACTAGATTTATGTCATGTACTTAAGGGCCAAGACTGTGTGACAAACAGTCAGCTGCCCTTTGATAAATCACTGGACTCAGAAGTCAATAAAAAGCTGTCACCAAATAGCACAAGTTTGGAGGAAAATATAAAGTTATCTGCCGTACAAATTTGACTTAATTTACAGATTAATAAAGCTCTTCCAGAATAGAAAAAAAATAATACACATGCATGGCTCCTAATAAGTTATAAAAAAAAGTTTAATTTCCTAAAATATTAATAGAGCCATGGAAAATCTACAAGCCATAGGGTGAATATGACTTTTAGTTTGATTGTGCCAGACCTCCAGAAAATGTTCTAAACTTTAGTACATGTTTACTGCTCTTGCTATGAAGGGCCCAACGGCCAATTGTGAATGCAATGTGACAGATCCAAAGATGAAAACAAAAAGGGTTATGGGATTATAGATTATTTTAGCCAGAAGGGCCATATAAATCATCTCATCCAAAGTCCTATTTTTATAGTGAGAAGTCTAAAATCCAGAGGGATATAGAAACTTGAGAGGTGCCAAGCCCCAAGGTCATTTGATTGCAGAGCTGAGTCAGGAATTCATGCTTAGTTCTGGTTCTATAATGCTCTTGTAATAAAGAAGCACCTTCATGTAAGTCTTTGATCAGTAAGCAAAATTATTATAGGCAGAGAAAACTGCAGCATTGTCAGAGGTTCAGGAAAATGGGGAAGGTAAATTCTGGGCAGATGTCTTGGCAATGGGGGGAAGGAGGATCGTGGACACTGAGAGCCCCTGTGGGGGTGGATGCCTATCTGTAGCATAAGTGGGGTGCTCATGTGAAACAGATTGCAGCATCAAAAGTAAACTCTAGGCTGATTCAACAGAGTGCACCTTTTGATAATCACTGGGAATGAAAGGCAGGGCCAGAGCTAAGATGAGTCGACAAGACACTTTCCTTAAGAATAAAATTAAAGGAGATGCCAACAAACTCCATAATCAAGACAAATAATATCTTACTGTAATGCACAGCTTAAAAATTAATATTGATTTAAATTAATTCATGATGAACAAAATAATAAAAACTGTAAATAAAGACAGGATCATTATTAGTGATATTTCTTTCTGTCTTGGGTTCCAATACGGCTGTTCAAGGCACTCCCTTCCTATGCATTACACTTCCTCCTGTCCTTAGTGCCATTTTGTTCTTCTTTCTTCAGACCCCATAGATATTTTATACACCTTCTTGTACTCTCACTGCTTCCTCCTTAATTCTGCCTCTTTTTTCTTTAATTCTTTTTATTTTACAAACCTTTACTCTTTGGGGCTGGTCTGCCTTTTCTTTTTGCAGCTTTCTTCCATCAGTGCTTCCCTCTCTCCCTTAACAAAGCATCATAGCAAACAAGTTTGGTACATCTTATTATATGTGTTAAAAATGTTTAATTGTCCATAATTGTCATAAATATACTTACAAAAAATACAGGAATTTTTATTATTGTTCTTATGACCTGTACCCTCACTGAATCATTTCTGGAATTAGTTCTGGGCAAGTTACCTAATGTCCTTTTGCCTTGTCCATCAGCGTTACATCTACCTCTCAAAGCAATTGTGGCAATTCAATGACACCATGTAGATCAAGCATATAAAATAGTGACAGCTAATAGATATATTGGTGTTTGATAGTGCCATCGTTATTACTATAATTATTATCTCATTCACAATCCTGAGTTGTTAGAACATCTGTGTTTCTCTGTAAGATTAAACCCATTTAAAGTAATTTAGATTTTTGGAGGCTCTAATTTGCTAGTTCCTCATGGAATCAACTTTACACATCTCCATAAATGTTCTATTAACCTTCCAAAGCAGTATCATGTGATTCATATGTTTCCGAGACTGTGCAGTGGGATTTGCTGAAATTATTATAGACAGCCAAGACTAAATCTGAAGCGTAGTGGCTTCCTTTTACATTATTCACAAAGGAAAACTCTTGCAATTAACTTTCCTCCCACCAACTTCTTTTTCACATAACATTTCCTTTGTTTAAAATTATGCAAATGAAACCTTGTAAAGAAGAAAAAAAAAAATTCCTAAATAGAACTGCTCTGTGCTAAGGCAATATACTGAAATTAGTTGTGGTGAATAAAGCCCCAAATCAAAAACTCGGGTTTTTCCTCCGATGTTCATGGCCTATTATCTGACAGAGATGTAAAAGTTTAAAATTAGAATTATTACAGAAATAATGATTACAGGGTAGCCAGGGAAATGGGATGCCAGCACTAAAGTTTTGGTACACTAATGCAGATAAACCTTTTGAGACTACAAAACAAAACAAAAAAACACACTCACATGCACAAAGACCTTTGAAAAGTGTGTGTGTGTGTGTGTGTGTGTGTGTGTGTTTTCAATTTTTCTTTAAAAAGTACTAACCCAAAGAAACTTCTAAAATGTATACACTAATGTTTTTTCTTGGTCTTATTTAAGTGCAAAGGTTAAATTTTACTTAGGAAATTAATTTGAAAAAGCTAATGAGATAGAGATAAACACAAAGGTTTCTGGGTGAGGATGCTCATGAAGCATTTTTATAGAAGTATTGGAAACAACCTAATGAAGGAGGGCTAAGGAAGTAATGATATGTCTTTAAGAGGCAATAAAAGGCAACAATAAAAATTTATATTCTGAAGCAGTTGCATGCTATGAGAAAATGATCACAAAATAGTAAGAGATAATGGAAGAGTATTTCTGTGTAGATAGACACGTATGGATCTATATAAGCATATACACAAACACACACATACACCAATCTTATTCTCAATTAATTAAAACTATCTAAAACAGGGCATAATAAAATATAGATATATACTCACAATTTTATATCTGTATGGAATTAATTTCTTAATAAATTATTTTGGTAATGTTTTTATTAGGAAACAATTATAAACAAATGAATATTGTTTACATTATAATTCCCCATTTTATTATAACTTTATACTTTTTGCAACATTTTTATTTGTTGAAGTTATATGACCATGAACTTTTCTCTAATATTTTAAAAATAAATTGGGCCAGATCTTATACAGTACAATATTCATATGTAAGAATCTTACCAGTTGCGTTTTCCTGAAATTTTAAAGTTTGTCTTATCTGCTGGTATGCTTTTCCTTTTGCTCCCAGTTGTACCATTCCAAGGATCAAAGTTGTTCCAAGTGGGGAAAATATAATGTTGTCCTTTTGAGATGAACAAATAGCTTGATAAAGATCCACTGCAAATTCAGTATTTCTTTCAGCCAAGGGTCTTGATGCTTGACTTCCAGAAAAAGTCAATAAGAGACTCCACAAGATCTTAAGCATTTTGACTTCTGTGCATTAATTCAAAACTTATTAGCTTTCAAAGAAATCAGAGTTTATCATCTCACACTTAAAGAAACCTTCCTACTTATTGGAATTTTCTGTGTTATTAGGACAAATTATCCCAAATATATTTTACTAAGTATCATCTATTAAGGCCATGTTGTAATGGTATTGTTTTTATATCCCTTCAAGAACCAGTTCAATATATATAGCAGTTTCTTAAAATCAAGAGGAATTATAATTCTGGGGTACTATCAACATAGTAATACTATTTCTAAATGTATACATATAATACACTTTTCCTATTTTGTCCATGGTTTTACATTGAATACCTATAATTCTTAAATCAAGGGAACCCTCTGTCCAGACTACTCTATAGATCAAAAACAGTAATGGAATAAAAAAATGAACACACTCCCATATGGTTTTAGACATATATTAAAAAGTTAATATACTTTAAATCAATTAAATGATCTGATTAACTTTTTACAACAGTAAAAATTAGGGAATTTGTAGAGCAAAATTACTCCAAAACCCACATGCAATTTTCCAAAGGGAGAAGAGAAAACTATAAAGAAACAAAATTATGCCTAAATATAAATGGTACATCAATAGAAAAAGAGAGCAATCTTTTTTTAAAAATCAAAGAACAATTTGACAAATAACAAATGTTAGAAAGCTGCAATTGAAAACTATAACCGAGTCAAAACAACACTAATGATACCTTATTAAAGTACTCTCCACTAAAATTGCAGAAAATTCAACCCTGATTACATCTAGAGCAGAGTGAGTTCTTGCAATTTTATCAGAGACTTGGTGGAAAACTGACTCTGTAGGTCTCATAAATTTTACTAACACTGTTTTTCTCCCCACAGATAATACATTTCAGTAGCCTGTAATAATTCCTAGTCGAATAGATTAGTAGGAAGTAATTTTAATTGGGGGTAAAGATAAAAGCCTTTGGAATACTGTGTTGTTAAACTTAAATTATTAAAGAACTATATTTCTAGAGTGTTTTATAGGCCATTAGGAAGGTCACCAATACCCACAAGTGAGTTAATAGTCATTAAGATCACTGCTATATATATATAAAGATTACCAATAGTCAAAATTCTCCAAAACTAAGCTACAGAGTCATTATCTAGATATTTCAAATTATTTTCTAATATATATATATATGTAAACTCTACATGCTTAGATATAGAATTTACAAAGAAAAAAGAGCTATAAGTTCAATCCAAATAATAGAAAATAATGTTTTTTAAACTAAAAATATACATACATATATTAAACAAGCAAATGCTTTATTGAGGATTAGATTGGTACCTAAGGTTGTTAGTAGTAGTGCAACAAAAACTAACACAAAATAAATTTCTGCATATCATTTTTTAATATATTTACTATCTCAGAAGATTTCTGTCTAAAATATTAGTTTGTAGATATTCAGTCACAATGTTATCAGTACTTTTAAGTGGTATTCCATTAGGTACATCTTTATGTTCTTGATTTTTATTAAAATAATAAACACTATTATGAAGGATGTATTTTTACTCTTATAGCTAAATCAGGACGTTATCCTCTTTTTATTATAATATTAATAATCTTAATAACTAAAATATACATTCTGTGAGCATCCATTACTCATAGAAAATTTCTAGGTACTTAGTAAATTACAAGCTCACACAAAATGCTGGTTTAAAAAATTCACTTACCTCATTGGCTTTTGGATCATATCTCATTAGAAATCACAAAGTACTAATAAACTTAAAAAACTGATGAATAGTCCTATAAGAATGCAATATTCAAATTTATAGTGACATATTTTAAAGAGAATAAAAGTAATGCATTAATTTGATAAATTTAAATAATATATATTAAAAGTAATGCATTAACTTGATAAACTTAAATAATATATACTTGATAAACTCAAATAATATAAACTTAAAACATCAGTCTTACTCTATTAAACACTCATAATTAATATTATTGCATATATACTTTATTCAAAAGCAATTTAATTTTAAGATACTTACTCAAAATTTGCTTCTGATCATTCACGGTTATCTTATGTCTGCTGAGAAACACTAGTATATGGCACACCTGATCGGTCAAGGCCAACTCTATTTACCTTGAATGTTAGATTAATTCCTCTAAAACTAAAGCAGGTGTTTACCACATTTGAATGAAAGGTCTGATATGATCAGGTTAATGATCAATGATGAAATATGCAAGAACTGAGAGAGAAGGCAATATTAGAATTTTAAAAGATCATGAAGTTGCTGAGGCCAGTTTGGCTCAGTGGATAGAGCGTCGGCCTGCGGACTGAAAGTTCCCAGGATCGATTCTGGTCAAGGGCATGTACCTTGGTTGCAGGCACATTCCCAGTAGGGGGTGTGCAAGAGGCAGCTGATCGATGTGTCTAACTTTCTATCCCTCTCTCTTCCTCTCTGTAAAAAAATCAATAAAATATAAAAAGAAAAAGAAATGAGACTTCTGGAACAATAAATAAATAAATAAATAAAAATAAAAAATCATGAAGTTTATATTATTATTTCACTTCTTTTATAATAAGTAGAAGCAGAATTTGGAAGAATGTGCCAGTGCCTGTAAATTTGCTAGTAATTAGCTCTTTTTGTTTCTCGTAGGAATTCCAGATCAGCATACCAATGTATTCTATCATAAATATTTCTGAATACGTATGACAGAAAGAATAAAGTTGAATCAAGTCCAGAATGCAGAGAGACAAATTGCTGCTACATTTAGTGCTCTCAACAATTAATCAAATTACATAATAAATGAATTTTCTATGGATACAAGGCCCATTTGAATCCTTAGGAAAAAGTCTGGATATTAAAAAATATATAATCTTTGTGTTGAACAAAAAGACCAGATTAAGATTATAGATTTACCAAATTACATCAAGATATTACTATTAACCATAAGTAATTTGTTAAATTTATATGTTCTTACCAGTTTACATGATTTTTTTCTACAAACAGTTCATTAATAAAACGTGGATGCGCCAAAGTCGGTTTGGCTCAGTGGTAGAGAGTGGATCTGCGGACTGAAAGGTCCCAAGTTCGATTCCGGTCAAGGGCATGTACCTTGGTTGCGGGCACATCCCCGGTGGCAGCTGGTCGATGTTTCTCTCTCATCGACGTTTCTAGCTCTCTCTCTCCCTCTCTCTCACCCTTTCTCTCTGTTAAAAATCAATAAAATATATTTATTAAAAAAAAAAGGTGGATGTGTCATTGAATAGGTTTTGATCTCATTGTTCTAGTTCAAATCAATAATGCCAGTGACAATCAGATATTAAATAAGTGGCCTTTAGGAAGAGGAACGGAACATTTGTTTCAGTTACAATTAAACAAATATTTATTGTTGATTACTAAATGTAATATTATTATAAATATAAAGCTATGAAACATAAATAAAATGACTATAGATACCTTTAAAAGAGTTTTTGTTAAAAAAAAAAAAAAAAAAAAAGCTTTTTCAAGGATCCTGTTAGCATCTTTCAGTGTCCTAGGGCTATAGCTTAATAACAGACTTGAGGACCCCGATGACCAATGTCGGCCATAATATTTAATTTACTAGAATTTTTAATTGCCCATTTAAGCGTCTCTGAATGCTTTCTAAATGTTGGGTTGTTCCCTAATATCACTTTCTCTGATATAAGCAAACTCATTTGGAGCTTTTAATATAACACTGTTAGAGGTTATTTTCCAAAATCACAGTTATGCAACATAAGAACACAATCATTCTTCTGTTCTACTCTGCAATTCATAAATAATAAATCCAAATATCTAAGACTATCATTCAATCAATGCTCTTCTACCCAGGCAGTGACACCAGAAAGCATCCATCACAAGTACACTTGGTTACCAAATTATTATGTCTACAGCATTCAGGTCATAATGTGACTTGCCCAGGAACAAGCCATTATTTTTCCTCCCAATGACAGAGACAGACACTCAGTCTTAGTAAGATCATTTAATGAAGTTGTTCTGTAAGGACCTTATGTTAGCACAGGTCACACAGACTATACATGTTCCTTTCTTTTAGGGAGTAAAAAGCAGTGGGCATGAATTTCTCCTCCCTGGGTTAAGCTTTTTTAATAGACAGTAAAGATACCACAATTGTCCATAAAATATTACTGCAAGCTTTTAAATATTTTTTATAAATCTGTTTCTTCTATAACTCAATTTTGCATCTAGAGCATCGATGGGAAAAATAATAGCAAGGGGTTATAGGTTCAATCTCATTATCCTTCTAATTAGCATTTAATAGCATTTTGTAGTTTTTTATAAGTAAAAATACATTTAATTCCAAACTTTAAAAAACACACAATCAAGTATTTTCATTAATAAATAAAGGACTTAAAAGTTAATTTTTTCATTGTTTAATTTCAGTATTTTTCCCCTGTGCTAGTTTGCTCTATATATTTTGTGTGATAAGAGAGAAATGTTCTGAAAAGATAATAGGTTAAATTATATTTAGCATAAATCTTCATATAACAAACAAAATAACCTACTGAAAAGTATGGGGCATCATTTTTTTAAAAATAACTCTTTTCTTATTGATTTTAGAAAGAGGAAGGCAGTGGCAGGGAGAGAAAGAGAGAGAGAGCGAGAGCGAGAGCGAGAGCGAGAGCGAGAGCGAGAGCGAGAGAGAGAGAGAGAGAGAGAGAGAGAGAAACATTGAAGTGGGAGAGAAATGTTGTCTGGTTGCCTCCCTACCATATGTGTCCTGACTGGGGAATCCTGTGCTCTGACAGAGCATCTAACCTTCAGCCCTTCAGTGCACAGGAGGATTCTCCACCCAACTGAGCTCCCCAAGCCAGAGTTGGCAACATCCTATTTTAATGTGACAAGTCCTTTTCACTGTAGAAAAACGAGTCTTAAATAATTAAAACTAAATATTAATTTCAGAAATGGCATATAAAGTCTTCGGTTCTATTAATATTTGATAAGTGAGACCCTACTCCCAGCTTAACTCAG